AATTTGGCTGCAACATTTTTTTTATAATACGTATTTTTCTAGAATGTTTTTGAAAATTTTGTATCAAAGGGAAATAATTTTCTATTGACTTCATGTCTTGATAAAAAAAAATGATGTTCTGCTGAAAAGTTAAGTATTACCGGTACTGCTCAATAATGTCTTCTTCGATGCTTACCACACAACATATTTCTGCTTTTTAAAACAAAACCTAATGTGAATAGTTTGTGAGTCATAACATTTGGATCCCATTCATTATTCCAGTATATGTAAATGTTATGCACTACTTGGGGAATATACTTGTGCTGCAATTTATCCTCAAAATGGGTTTATATATGAAGTCCTCTATTTTTTGAGCATCTTTTTGCAGGCATAACACATTCACAAAAAAACCTCCACATGTATTTAAGAATATGAATCACATTAAACTATAAAGTTTGCATTGTTGCCATTGATGAACAGTATACGTGTCTTGTTTTGTATTGTGAACTTTTCACAAACTCACAAGTCATGAACAACATTGGCACTAATAAACTGTATGCATGTGCTTCTAATAACAAGTATTGAAAAGTTGTTGCATACCATTGGATATTTTTACACCACTTCACATGTTGTTGTTATCTGTAGATGGCATTATTGATCATAAAATTTGAAGGTCACTGTCACTTATTCACCTTGACATGAATTCTAGATATAACCATACAGGGACGCAATTCTTTGAAATTAGGAAAAACAGACCACTAGCCGGGTAAGCCTCACAAATATTATTGTTTTTATTAAGAGTACATTATACACATTAATATTTAGGGATTGACAATTATTTCTGTATAGATGGTAGTACTAGAGAAAAAGAACTGCACATTTTGTAATAAATGAAATTCTAACACCACCACTCCTAAGTTGAACTTTATGTCCAAGCACACTAATCTGCACAGTATTACCTTACTGGAAACATGGAGCCAGGAACAGCCACTGGTGGTGCTATATACAATCAAAACCTATTTTGGATTGCCTATGCTCATTCAGACTTGAGTGTAAAGGCCAGAAACAGTTGTTAAATTTGGTGACCAGTTTAGTATGATAAAAAGTGTGTACAGTCTCCAAATTACCACAATAGACAGAGTGGTCAAGGCCGAATATACAAGATTCCGGCGTTTCTAAATAAATGCTTTCTATTAATAATTGCACTTTCAAATAATATTCATGAGTTATGTCTACATCATAACCTCGTTAAAGGTCATTAGCATATTATGTACGCAGTGCACATGCCCTTTTTCTGTATTCCACAATTTACGTTTTATGTAAGTGACGTTCAACACTGTCAATGATGGTGCAGAACATTGTGTTTGTATTTGAAGCCCACACATAAGCGATGCTACCAGATATATACACAAGCTAACTAGCCACGCCAGCCCAGCAACTGCATACTCGTCAAAAGATTTGTACACACTCCCACCCAGGTCATACGCTGTAATATGCAATTACAATTCTGGTTCCCCCAATAACTACAAATTCTTTAAAGTGCAACAGATGAAAAAGCTCCACAAATGCAGGAGAATGCAACTGACAGTTGTTCAGCACTATATATGTTGTCAACTGTCTTGAGTCTCCATCAAAGTATCATAGCATCTGTTGAGATAAAATGAGGAAATGATGTAATTTATAACTTCTAAAGTAGATCTTCAAAATGGGTGAAAGTTTAGAACATTGGCAACAGGACTGAAAAAATACATTTCTACTAAATGTTCAATTCTTTGTACATGTCAGTATCTTGAAGTTACAGATGTCATATTTTACCTACAATCCTTTGCCGGAAAATCAAAATAGTGGACAACAATAAAAAAAGTTGAATATTTATGGAATTATATTCCTTTGCATTTGTGAGCTTCTTTTTTCTAGGAGTATCATACTTCCTATAGTACTCCCTATAGATTCAATCTTCATATAAAAATCAAAATATTTAGTATATTTGTCTGTTCAAAATATTTGTCTGTTTCTATGTCTTGTTGTTATGAATAATTTTTCAGTGGTGATAAAGTATTAAAATTATTAGAGCTGAACGTACTGAACTAAATAAATAAAAAAAAATTCTATTTGTTTCCTTTTACAGGCATGTTGACTCTGCTAAAGAAATGATCCGTGAGTCACTTCCAATTAAATGTCTTGAAGCTGTAATTCTTGCCATGTATCCTTTACATCTATACAGTCCAGTGTTCATATCAATGTCTTCATTGTCAATTCTCTATTTTGTAAAAAAAGTTTACATACTCACTTATAATTATAGTATGAACACTAGTTGCCAACTTAGTACTTTCTCAGTGCAAATTTACCCTAGGCTGTATACAAAGAGGATTAGTTGTGCATAACAGATGATGTCTTGATTCTATCGCAGTCACAGGAAGGTATGCAAAACAGTTTAGATGCTTTGGCAGAATATAGTGATGCATAGAAATTAACTGTAAGTTTAAGCAAAACAAAATTAATGATGGAAGCTACAATTACTTGGGAATAGTTTTTACATCAAATGGAAAGTTTAAATTGGTTTGTAAGACTCTAAAAGAAAAAGCAATGAAGGCAATGTTCTTACTAAAACCATGGAACTATAAACCCCAGGAAGAACAACCACTTCGTTTCCTTTGAACTATGATAGTTGCCGCGATGTCGAATGTTTATTTTGACTGTTTATTTCGTCGCATTAAAAGTAAGCCGATTTACGCAAATGAAGGTTTATCCCCGACTATCGGTCATTTTCGGAGTCAATCGGGCAACTTCAA